TTAAAAGGACCCCTTAAAGGAACCCTGAACTTAAAAGGACCTTAAAGGAACCTTGAAGGAACCCTTAACTTAAAGGGACCCTTAAAGGAACCCTTAACTTAAAAGGACCTTAAAGGAACCTTAAAGGAACCCTTAACTAAAAAGGACCCCTTAAAGGAACCCTTGGGCTGAGCTGCCTAAAGGAACCCCCTGAAAAAGGCCTCGCGACCACGGGGTCGGCCTCCTCTTCAGACTCGGAGTCCTGGAAGGGGACTCGCTTTTTGGGTTTAGGGTTTAGGGTTTAGGGTTTAGGGTTTAGGGTTTAGGGTTTAGGGTTTAGGGTTTGGGTAGTCTGGTGTTGTATAGAGGGTCTAGGGTTTAGAGTTCAGGGCTCTGGGTTTAAGGTTTAGGGTTTAGGGTGTTAGGGTTTTCAGGGTTTTGGGGTTTAGGGGTTTAGGGTTTCATAATGGCCCTAGAAAGTACGACCTGAAGATAGATACTGTGGACGTTACAAATCCTCAACTCGGAATCCGCGTGACGTGGCGTGCACTTCTCTGCTTGCCTTGAACATCTCAAAACATTTTAACCCCAAATTAATTACAGCATGTAGTATGTGATTTGTATATAGTCATATGTATATACAGAAGATGCAGCAGCATTTATATATATATATATACACACACATGTGTGTATACATATCTATATCTATATATCTATCTATATATATATATATATGTATGTATGTATGTATCATGAACCATGTCTTCCAAAACCCTATTCTAATTACTAAGGCCCCATATTCGTTTGTTACCGTTATCATTAGGGATTGTTAGCTCGTCCTAGATATTACTACGATTACTAACTTGTTACCAGTGTTCGATGTTCTTAGCTATTCTAAGATTCAGGGTTGTTCAGGTTCGCTGGCTCGCGGCTCAACGGGGATGCGGCGTTGAGGAGTGGAGGGGTGTTGAGCGGTTTGGGGTTTAAGGGTCGGTTAGGGCTCAGGACATTCAAGCATTCCGGAACCTTTATAGCGCCCCTACGGAACCCGGATAGAACCCTCATGAAACCCCACACTCCAGCTCCCATCTCCTCAAGGGCAGCAAGATCGGCGGCAACTCGGCTTGTTGGGTTAGGATGCACGGAGACTTCGGCCGTTGCGAAGAAAGTACATTGTAAGTATGAGTATTGAGGTACGGAAGAGAAAATCGTGACATGAGACAAAGAACTTGAGATCTACGCGTCGTTGTTCCAGCCATGTACCTCGCCTCCGAGCCACAGAACCTGAGCCCTGAAACGCACGGGGCTTCTTTGGAAGCCTGAGCTTGGGGGTCTTGTAATGCAGCGATTGAGGCCTACGGGCTCAGGGCCTAGAGTTCAAGCTTTTGCAAAATCGGGCCTACTTCTTGGCGTCCCCCTTCGATCTTACATCCTCTCCACTTGAAACTCTAAACAAAAATCATAACACCTACTAGAGAGACGTCTGAAGTATCACCATTTGGGCTACTATGTATGAACCAGCAAAACTGACAAGTCCATATGAATCCCCATTCTAGCTTTTGAGGCACTAGTATCCCCTTCTAGCTGGAAACCCTAAATCCTAAACCCCAAACACCCTCAAAGCCGACCCAACAGCCCCAAGCCCAAAAAAGCCCAACAGGGCCAGCAGTCCAGAAGCGAATATATATATATATATATATATATATATATATATATATATATAGATATAGATACAGATATAGATATAGATATAGATATAGATTTAGATATATGTGTATATATGTATGTATAGCGTATA